TTTTAGTAATATTCTTTTGGGCTTTACCAGCCTTTTTCGCTGCTTTTCCACTAGTTTTAGGAGGCATGTTTTTTTTCACTTCACTTTTTCACTTAAACTTTTCGAAATAAGTTTCTCTACTCATCATATAGCATTTTTATTGACAAACTGTTCGAGTAATCGGACAAACCGACACGAAGTGTCACGAAGCCGAATGGATGTAGAAGTCAATGAAATGAAAAAGTATATAATCAGCAGTGTGTTAGTAGAATTTTAATAAAGTGAATTGTGCAGTGCAGTGTGCATAGTGAAGATTAATTTTTATTTTCTTTTTGGTGTATTAAATAAGTATATAGAAAATGTCTGGGCGTGGTAAAGGAGGTAAAGTGAAGGGAAAAGCAAAGTCGCGTTCAAATCGTGCTGGTCTTCAATTTCCCGTCGGACGTATACACCGTTTGTTGCGCAAAGGCAATTATGCCGAACGTGTTGGTGCTGGTGCTCCCGTATATTTAGCTGCTGTTATGGAATATTTGGCTGCTGAAGTTCTTGAATTGGCTGGTAATGCTGCCCGTGATAACAAAAAGACTAGAATAATTCCACGTCATTTACAATTGGCCATCCGTAATGACGAAGAATTGAATAAATTATTATCTGGAGTGACTATTGCTCAAGGTGGTGTTTGCCAAACATTCAAGCTGTACTTTTACCAAAGAAGACTGAGAAAAAGCATAAATTTGTATCTCGACGAGTCTTATTATTAACATACTATCTAAACAAGAATAAAACCGTCCTTTTCAGGACGACAAACTATTTACATTCAAAGAGATTGATATTATTTTCTAAAAACTACATACTCGTATATACTTTTATATATATATTTCGCTAAAATTTTTATTTAATTTAATATAATGCACAGTAAATATTTTTATATGTAAAGTACGTTTGTAACAAAACTTGACTAGTTATACAAAACCGGTTGCATACGATACACATATAATAATACATGAATGTGTTAGTATAGTATACACAGTCATCTGTACATACAGCGTACGGTACAGTATAGTAGGTAGGCAATTACGAAAAACACTAGATGCGTATGGTGGTACACATGTACAGTTCTGTGCATTGTGTGTTTTCGAAATTAAATTCATTTTTATCTACAATAAATATATAAATTTTTGATCTTTCGTTGAGAAATTGTGGTCCTGAAAAGGACCGTTTGGATATATATCTTCTTCAATTCAATTAAGCACGTTCTCCGCGAATACGTCTGGCTAATTGAATATCTTTTGGCATAATTGTGACACGCTTTGCGTGAATGGCGCACAAATTTGTATCCTCAAACAAACCGACCAAATATGCTTCACTTGCTTCTTGTAGAGCCATAACAGCAGAACTTTGGAAACGTAAATCTGTTTTGAAATCTTGAGCAATTTCTCGTACTAAACGTTGAAATGGTAATTTGCGGATTAATAGTTCTGTACTTTTTTGGTAACGACGAATTTCACGTAATGCCACTGTACCGGGACGATAACGATGAGGTTTCTTAACACCACCAGTTGCAGGAGCACTTTTACGAGCTGCTTTGGTTGCCAATTGTTTACGTGGGGCTTTACCACCAGTCGATTTACGGGCTGTTTGTTTTGTACGAGCCATTTTTTTTTTATTACACTTTTTTAATCAAACACTCACTACACTCACTGCACTAATATATCTTTCTATACACCAATAATATGTGTACAAGTAATAAAATGCTTAATAACGTTTCAAAAGTTCATATTATCGGGGTGGATTGTTGTTTAGCTATATTCATGTGTTAGAAATTTCTATATATAGCTAAGCCACATTGATTGTTGTAAATTTTTGTATATATACACGTACAATACCTTAGTTCTCACAGACATCTATAGAGCGTGCAGTGTTCAAGAAGTAAAAGTGTTGAAGTGTTAAAAGTGTAAAAGTAGAAAATGACTGGTCGCGGCAAAGGTGGAAAAGGCTTGGGTAAAGGTGGTGCTAAGCGTCATCGTAAAGTTTTACGTGATAACATCCAGGGAATTACTAAGCCTGCTATTCGGCGTTTGGCTCGTCGTGGAGGTGTAAAACGTATATCTGGTTTAATATATGAAGAAACACGTGGTGTCTTAAAAGTATTTTTGGAGAATGTTATCCGTGATGCAGTCACCTATACTGAGCACGCTAAAAGGAAGACAGTTACAGCAATGGATGTTGTATATGCTTTGAAGAGACAAGGACGTACCTTGTATGGATTCGGCGGTTAAACCATTTTTACTATCAAATATGAAAATCTAACAAAACGGTCCTTTTCAGGACCACGATATACATTAAACGAAGATACAAAATAATGATAAATTAACAGAAAAATAATAAATATTTACGTATTTATACGTAATGTAGTAAAAATTCTTAATTTGCATGTAGTTAGCTTTAATCTAACTGAATATTATTTATTAAATACCCATATACGGGTATATATGTATTGCATTTATGTTATTTATGGGAAAGTATGTAGGCTTCGAAATAACGGAATATGAATAGATATAAAAATTATATTATCTACAGACCTATGTATGTATGTATGTACATATGTTAGTAATTTAATATTATATTACTACTAATATACATTTGAGCTGAAATTTATGCAACAAAATATTTTCAAATTGTGAATTCATCGCATAAAACCGCTTTTTGTTTTCATACCATTATTATACTTCACTTAAGTTGAAAACCATATATATAATCTTGATAGTTAATGAATAGCAGCAGAAAGGCCTAGCGGTAACCTCAAGTTATTTGATTATTTTTTATTTATATTTATTTCGTAACGAAAATATGTTAATACTTGTTTACATCATCACTAATATGAATTATTTTAAATTTGTAAAAGAATTTTAAGGTTTTATTTGAAAATGATTGAGAAAATGGAATTTATATAGGGAAATTTTGCCTTTTAGAGAGCAAAGTTTGGACAAAATCTCATTTTAAATGAAAAATGTATACCGTAAATAAATATGCGCATTAAAATTTGAAAGCAACACATTTAGGCTATCGAACTGCATATAAAATGGTTGGTTAAGTTAAATATTTGATTTTTAGTAAATTAAATAAACTTAAAAGTTTGTCCGTTGGAGATGTTAAATTGCACTGGATCGTTCTATTTTGTTACTCATCTTTTCACCTCGCTTCTCAATTTAAGAAGGTATAGCAATTTGTAGGTATTTCTTCATCTATAAATTAGTACATAAAGTGTATATTTAATTAATATAAAACAGGAATTTATAAAAGTGAAAATGTCTGAAACAATTGCTGTTGCGAATATTAGCTCTCCGGTAGCCGGATCTTCTGCTATTTCTGAGAAAAAAGTTGCTGCTAAAAAACAGTGAAGCCAAAAAAGCCTTCAGTCGCTCCTACTCATCCCCCAACTCAACAAATGGTTGATGCATCAATTAAGAATTTAAAGGAACGTGGTGGCTCATCACTTTTGGCTATTAAAAAATACATCAGTGCTACATACAAATGTGATTCTCAAAAATTAGCACCATTTATTAAGCGATATTTGAAATCGGCTGTTACTAGTGGTAAACTTATTCAAACTAAAGGAAAGGGTGCATCCGGTTCGTTTAAATTATCAGTGGCTGCCAATAAATCAAGTAAATCCGGTGAAGGTAAATCGAAGTCAAAAGCGGTAAAATCTATCGAGAAGAAGCCCAAAAAGAAATCGACAGATGGTGTAGCGTCAAAAAAGAAGGCAGCGGTTGGCGGTAAGAAAATAAGTGGCGAGAAAAAAGTGAAGAAAACTGTTACTAGCAAGAAAACAGCGGAGAAGAAGAAAAGTGAAAAAGCCAAAACGAAAGATGCAAAAAAGACTGGATCAGTTAAAGCCAAACCAGCTAAAGCTAAATCGTCTCCGAATAAAGCAAAGGCATTAAAAGCTAAAACACCTAGTGTCAAAACCAAGAAAGCAGCGGTCAATAAGAAACCGGTCACCAAGAAAGCGCCAACTAAAAAGTAAAACCTAGGTAAATATAAAAAAAAAAATTATGTGGCGAATAAGAAATAAAATAAGCCCTTTTCAGGGCTACAAAAATTCTTAACATATCGATCAGAAATGGATTTTTATCAAAAACACACGGACATCATATAAATATTTAAACTACGTGTCACGTTTATATCTCATTTGTGTTAAAAGTAAAACAATTCATACATAAAAAAAAAATTATATATACATATGTTATATTAATAATTATAATTTTCAGTAAAATGCCTAATGAATTTTCCATTCATTATTTTTTCAATTGACAATCATTTTCAAAATTAAATCTCAAGTATTTGAAATTTCGCCTTTAATCGGAAAAAATCTTTTCATTATATTGAATAGTATTAAATACCACAGTAAAGCGTGGCCGGACCTACATGTATACATTGTTTACGTGGGGCTTTACCACCAGTCGATTTACGGGCTGTTTGTTTTGTACGAGCCATTTTTTTTTTTATTACACTTTTTTAATCAAACACTCACTACACTCACTGCACTAATATATCTTTCTATACACCAATAATATGTGTACAAGTAATAAAATGCTTAATAACGTTTCAAAAGTTCATATTATCGGGGTGGATTGTTGTTTAGCTATATTCATGTGTTAGAAAGAGATGAAAATTTCTATATATAGCTAAGCCACATTGATTGTTGTAAATTTTTGTATATATACACGTACAATACCTTAGTTCTCACAGACATCTATAGAGCGTGCAGTGTTCAAGAAGTAAAAGTGTTGAAGTGTTAAAAGTGTAAAAGTAGAAAATGACTGGTCGCGGCAAAGGTGGAAAAGGCTTGGGTAAAGGTGGTGCTAAGCGTCATCGTAAAGTTTTACGTGATAACATCCAGGGAATTACTAAGCCTGCTATTCGGCGTTTGGCTCGTCGTGGAGGTGTAAAACGTATATCTGGTTTAATATATGAAGAAACACGTGGTGTCTTAAAAGTATTTTTGGAGAATGTTATCCGTGATGCAGTCACCTATACTGAGCACGCTAAAAGGAAGACAGTTACAGCAATGGATGTTGTATATGCTTTGAAGAGACAAGGACGTACCTTGTATGGATTCGGCGGTTAAACCATTTTTACTATCAAATATGAAAATCTAACAAAACGGTCCTTTTCAGGACCACGATATACATTAAACGAAGATACAAAATAATGATAAATTAACAGAAAAATAATAAATATTTACGTATTTATACGTAATGTAGTAAAAATTCTTAATTTGCATGTAGTTAGCTTTAATCTAACTGAATATTATTTATTAAATACCCATATACGGGTATATATGTATTGCATTTATGTTATTTATGGGAAAGTATGTAGGCTTCGAAATAACGGAATATGAATAGATATAAAAATTATATTATCTACAGACCTATGTA